TTCACCTTCTTAATAATTAATCACACATAATCAATGGTATTTCATATGAGATAATAATTTGCTAAGACCTCATGCATTTATATGGTATTAGAACATGTTTGAGTTTTTGGGTTTTAGACTTTAGTAAATGGGTAATCCGTTTGATACGTTGGATTTGAAACCATCTTATTCGAATTACCCAAAACAAGAGATAAATTAATAATATATGCTCATGCATGTTTTGTACAAGCCCCAATCAAAATACAATATATCATGATCATACAATTAAGTGTCTTTTATTCCATTTTGGGCTTTATAACAAAAGTTTGTTTACGTGGCGAAGAAAGAAAACTTGAAGATGAATATTTAGGTTGGATGTTTATATAAGATTTGTTTTAAATATATAATATATATATAACTACACAAATATGTGTCAAATACAGCCCATCACAAATTTAATGTTATAAACTACAATATAACTCAAAGTGGTTTTCCAAATATAATGTTTATACTATAATGTAATATATTAGAAGAATATCATATAGTAGACGAATCCCACATAGTTAGGGTTATATAGTAGACGAATCCCACATATTAGAAGAATACCATATTAGTTGCATAGATAATATATTATAATTACATTTCATTTAAAATATGTTAGGGTCATTTGGTTATTACATTATTGTATTAGGCACTATAGTCTCATATATTTTGAATGACTCTTACAAAAATGTTGTCTGTAATTTGAATATAACGTAATATCTTATGATGTTTATTGAATGGTATTATCTTCAATTGAGCACTTTTTAATTGGAATCAACTTTATTATAGTTAAAAAATTTGGCTCCCGTTTTTTCTTTTCATTAGTTCTAGAATATGATTTTTTATATTAACTTAAAATATGTCACTATCTTAAAATAGATTGAGAATGAGATTTTTTATATTTACTTAAAATACGACACCATTTTCTATTCAATAGTAAAAGTAACAAAAGTCGTTAAATATGTATTTTTATGAGGTTCAACATAAATAGACGACCACAAATGAGAATTCATATCTAATCAATCATCAACTAATTACATTACATACTAATGTGTACATAAAAATTACATTTAAAATGTTAAACTAATAGTAAAAAAATTTCATTATTTATTATGATAAAAAATCTGTAAATCAAAAAAATATACATGTTATTTAATCGCATACAAGTTTTATGTATGACTTATTCACAATACATTAAACCATATTAAACTACATAATTATCACACTGCACAACACGCGGGCATTCGCCTAGTAATTAAAAGTTTAAAATGAAATCCTATAATTATGAATGATTATAAATGCCATTTTGAGAAATTGTAGAATGAATGGACAAACGTGTCAATCCCCAAAACTTAGGGATTGCCTAAGATTTGGGATTAATTTGTTATCAGATTTTTATGAATAGGTTTAAGTTGAAACTTCTAGGTTAGAATTGATGGTAGATGTCTTTGTGGGAAGCTTTAAATAAGGACTAAAAGTGTTAAAAGAGAGTCAACACAAAAATGGTGTTAAATTTAAAGGTCGATTGGAGGCTTCTTGGCATCCAAAACACAAAAATTGTGATTTTTTGTCGGATGTTGGAGTTGCTCTTACGGACCATAAGTGCAAAGAGTTAAAATTTAAAGAATAAAAACCATTTTCCTCATCTTTTCATTGAGAATGGATTCAAATCCAAGAGTGGTTGTAGATGGCAGTTTTTAAGGATCAAATGATGGATGAAAAGATTTTTAGAATAACTATTTAATGTATTGAGCTTAGATCTTAACTATAGCTTGGAAAGGTATACACTATCCCTTTAAAACTCTCAAATTTTCATAGTTAGGGTTTAAGCTTGAGCTTAAATATGATTTTCGTTCTTTTTAGTTAGTGAATTAATGGAGTTTCTAGTTGCTAATCCTTCTTTACAACATCACTTCATCAATAACTTTCTCTATCAGGTTTGAATGAGATTTTGGGTGGTTTTCTATCCTTAGATTTTATGAACTCAAATTTGAGATGTCATCAATGATTTAAATATGTTTTGGATAGTAGAATCATACTCTAGAACATCAAGGCATCACCATTTTGTCCAATAGAATGGTTCATTCTATTTCAATGATGGAATTGGGGATTTAGAATTGTAGCTTGATGTAAAGTTGTACTATGAGCTTGAATGAGTTGTACTTTAGCTTGTAGATGTAGATTTAAATCTAAATCCACGAATTTTAGGACTATCAATTGCATTATAATTTTACATGATAGTCGTTATGACGATTCCAAGGTTCTTATTAGTGTTTATTAAGGTGATTGGTGATTCCACTGGTTAAACACAGTTGCAATGGAATGTAAAATGTGTTTATTTGAGACTAATCTATAAAACTCTTGGTAAATAGTAAAATTGAATCAAATGATTTAAATAAAGATATGTTGAAGGTTTTGAAAATGACTTATAGGATGTAAATGATATCACAATTTATATGTATGTAGTTCTCATAACTCCATTGAGTACTTGGAAATTGTTAGGATGTACATTTGTTTTGGGGTTTTATACACTTAATGTGTGTTATTGTGCATTATATTTGTGAGGATGTACATTTGTTTTGGGGTTTTATATTTAAAATGTACAATTGTATGCAATAAGTGAACACATGTACACCTTAATCGTATAATTGTATAATGAGTAATATATGCTTGTATGCAAGCGATAAATGAGAAGTTTATAAATGATTATGAGTTTTAGTAATGTATGCTTGTATGAGAAATAGTGACCATATTTGTTGTCCAGAATTACCAATATTTGTTATGCTAATTTTATATTAGCTAGAGTTCTTATGTAACTTGATGATATGTCAGAAAGACGAATGAGTTTATGGCTTTTTTGAGATGTCATTCCAAGAACAACTCACTGTCCCTAAAGGGGAAACGTAAAAGGTCAAGAGCATTTTCACAATGTAGCCCGCAAGTACTCTTTGATGCTTAGTTGAATCTTAGTTAGTTTTATGAGAAAGAAAAAAAATTATAGAGAAGTAGTTACCATATTTGTTGTGTGTTTTTGTGTTATTCTTGTGGGTACTTATATATTGAGAAGTTGATAAATGATTATGATTTATAGAATTGTTGATGGTGTTGGTCGGAGCCACTTTGTGTAAAATTACTTGGAATGAGATGGTGAATTGTTTATTGTTATTAAAAGTTTTTTTTGTCCTTTAGTTAGATTCGGGTAATCTAACTATTGCACGTGTGTACTTGTTTTTCTATTGGGCCAAAGCCAAACGCCAAACTGTTTCTTCGATCATTCAGAAGTACGGGTGGGACCCACCATCAAGGCCTCGATACAAATGCTTATAGAAATTCATTGATATTGGTGTTTAGACTTTAATCATTAGCATGCATGTTTTTAGCCCAGACGTCTGCATTGAGTATGCCATAATTTATTGCATTTATTTTAGTTGTATCGCATCAAATACAACTTGACACCCTTGTTATTATCTCTCCACTACGATTCCTTCTTTCCATCTTCTTAATAAATTTCCTTTCTTGCTCTTTTTCATCATTATGATGTCTTGCAATGGTTTAGATGAAGTTCTTCTTTAATGTCCACTTTGTGTAAAATTACTTGGAATGAGATTGTGAATTGTTTATTGTTATTAAAAGTTTGTTTTGTCCTTTAGTTAGATTCGTGTAACTAAGTATTGTACGTGTGCACTTGTTTGTCTTTTAGGCCAAAGCCAAACGCCAAACTATTTCTTCGATCATTTAGAAGTACGGGTGGGACCCACCATTAAGGCCTCGATACAAATGCTTATAGAAATTCATTGATATTGGTGTTTAGACTTTAATCGTTAGCATGCATGTTTTTCAGTCGATATGTCTTCATTGCATCTGCCATAATTTTATTGCATTTATTTTAGTTGTATCGCATCAAATACAACTTAACACCCTTGTCATTATCTCTCCACTTCGATTCATTCTTTCCCTCTTCTTAATAAATTTCCTTTCTTGCTATTTTTCTTTATTATGATGCCTTGCAAGGGTTTAGGCGAAGTTCTTTAATGTCGGATATGGTGTTAGATTGGAGGTCGTGGAGGAGTTTAATATTACTCCTAACGATTGTGCAACATTCAACCATTGACAAACTTCCTCTCAGTTTTTAATCACGCGATTTTGTACCAAAAAGTAAACCAACAAATAAGAAACTCGTAAAGCATGTAATAACATTTTGGAAAGGTAAATTAATAACAAAGTTATAAAAATGAAAAATAGTTAATTGAAAATCGAAACTACTTCGAGAAAGGTAATTCAACAACCAACAACAGTCAAATATGTTTACCAACTTAGAAATATGAAAATTTAGTCGAGTATTGTCTTATTCCTTACAAATAAGACATTATATTGTTTTGAAAGGGGAAATAAAATTTGTGCTTATATCAAAAACTTGTTCTAAAGTTAGACTATAAGTAGTTAATCATGCCAATGCACTTCATTAAGGCTATGGAGAGTGGATTAACATATGGCTTGGTAAATGTCAGTTTGCTTGGGGTGTCACGAAATCATGATTTGGGATAATAAAAAAAATCAATTTGAATTTACTTGTCTAATTCAAATTCGATCGGTGACACCCCTAGTTAAGGCTCAGTCCCTTGGATCGCTAGAGGCGCTGCCTCTAGACCCCTTCAAGGACAATGCCCATTGGAATCTTACAAGGGGCATTTCCCCCAAACCTCATGTTGCCGAGATCTTTTTAGTTATTTGAGTGTGCACTTCATACCTCATGTTTCATAATATAACCAAATGGAACTCAATTTGTCTCAAATTGAATCTTGACTACACTAAATGTATTGATAACACTAATCACCAACAATATGTCTCGGCGCATACCGCCCCTTGAGCTCGACATGTTAAGCTTGGCAACCCAACTCGCTCTCTCTCTCTCTCTCTCTCTCTCTCTCTCTCTCTCTCTCTCTCTCTCTCTCTCTCTCTCTCTCTCTCTCTCTCTCTCTCTCTCTCTCACCAACCCTTTTATATGGCAAAACTATGTAAAAGTAATTTGGAGCTCTACATCTTCTTCTACCACCATTCCTTTTAACCTATTTCACAATTGAGTGAAAAATGGACTAGAAATTTAACATAAAATATGTTTAGGAAATAAATACATCTCTCCAATATCCAGTAAAAGCTATTTATTATTTTATGGATTTACTTATTGCTAGGTATTTTAATTGAAGTAATCAGTCATATTTTATTTACAAGAGAAATTGAAAATATACTTTTCTAGCCTCCAAGATCCAAATATGTTTAATTTTAGTGATAGCTTCACACCATAAAGCTCAAATTTTGAACATGATATTGATTTAGGAATTAGGATTTACAAACAGTAATTTTCCGTTGGATTTCTTTACAAAACACAGCGTCGGAAAGTGAAGAACAGTCATCGCAGGCGATGATACGAGCGGTGATTATAATGAACGACGAAGGCAAGCCTCGCCTCGTCAAATTCTACGACTATCAGGTTTTGTAATTTCCTTTGGTCTCCATACATAGAAAAAAAAATTGCAAGTAATCGATTCATTTTACCAATTGCTTGATCATCGATTGTGATGTCAAATGCAAGGTTAGCCTATGGAGAAACAAGAAGAAATCATTCGTAGCATCTATGGAGGTTTGTATTTTCTTCAACGAGTAACTACTTTAATATATCTAATTAGTTAAGCTGTGAATGTGAATTGGAAAATAATCAGAATATGATGTTTAGGCTGATCCAATTCTGCTCACGCTAAAATGATCCAAATCATATTACTTCGAGTTTCATCTTCATGATTGCATGAATAATGAATATGCGATAATGCAATCAGTGAACAATCTATTTCATGGACTTTGTAAACCTAGAAGCTGTTGCCTTCTAATTAGGGAAATATCAGTACCTTGGTTTCTTTGGTTAGCTTCTTCGATCTAGATTTCACAAATCATATGAATTTGATCTTTTCTCTTGTCAGAAAACTTTGTGCCCTAATGACCAAGTTGTTTAATCGAATTGGTATATAGAAGGGGTTTAATTTGTTTGAAATTTGAATACAGTTCTATGCAGTAGAGCAGAGAATGTGAGCAATTTTGTTCAAGCAGATTCTACTTTTGGAAAGGTATGTTGTGCTTCTTTTGGATTCACAATTAAGTTTTAAATTTCAGTATACAAGGAATGTATTTGATCATATTATTCTTAGGTGAAATCTTTATCATATAATCAAATAATAATCCTTTCTTCTTGCAGGATATGCGACTTGTATACAAGACTTTTGCTACATTGTACTTCATTGTCATATTTGATGATTCTGAAAATGAGCTTGCAATTCTTGATCTTATGCAAGGTATATATCTTAAATTACTTTCCCCTTTCAAATTAAATAAAAAAAAAGAGACAACATTATCCCGTTTAATATAGTTATAATGTTTCTTCAATGTCTTGAATTTCAGTATTTGTGGAGACATTAGACAAATGTTTCAGTAATGTCTGTGAACTCGATATAGTCTTCAATTTCAACAAGGTTAATTTTTTTTTTTTTTTTTTTTTTTTTGCTTCACTCATTCAGACCTTGAGAATGATTGTTATTATCTTTTATTAAAACCAAAAACAATAAAAAAAATAATAATGAAATTTAATTTCAGGTACATACTATTCTTGATGAAATTATTTTGGGAGGTCAAGTTGTTGAAATGAACTCATCTGAAATTGTCAAAGCAGTCAATGACATATCTGGGTCATCTCTCTCTTTCTCTTTCTTAGTATGTGTATACATATACATATATACATATATACATATACTAACACGTATTGAAACCAGATTGGAGAAGAGCCAGAATTCAATCCTTCGAGTTTCAAAGTCGATATCTGGTTGGCAAGGGCGATAATGGAAATATTTATGTTTTTTATTTGCGTGTGGAAAATAATAAATATGTTTTATTTTTCTTCTGTAATCTTATAAAGACTAGTTCAATGTTAAAGATGAAAATGGTATTTATGTCTTTAGCACACAAATCAAGAACAAGATCCCAAATCCCATCTCAAAATTCAATTTTTTGCTATTTAAAATCAGTTGTAGTCTCATATATGTCGAAAACCTGTTATGTCATGTAGTCGTCTTCAGTCTAATGCATGTCATGTTATATGTCAAACTTCGATGCATATCAGATACACAGTACAACCAATCTCATTTCGATGCATGTCATATACTAGTCTGCATGTCACCTGTTATGTCATATATTAGTCACAGCTCAATGCATATCAAATGCAGGTATAGTACAATCTATATCAGTCTCAGTTCGATGCATGTTATAAGATACTTGTTATGTCATGATGTGTGTAACAAAACAAACAAGGAAGAAAGAAAAGAAAAACCGGTAATTATGTCAATTTGTTTCTCACCAAAAAATGGTTCAAAACAAAATCCATTACAATTTACAATTCCACAAGATCCCAACCAAAACCACCAATTACAAACAAAAATCGCTTGCTTCCTTCCACCCATAAACAACAAAACAAGCCCCCCTTGACCCTTCAACAACAAACAAAACCAAAAAGAAAAAAAAAAAAAACCAGAAACAAATGTTATAACTTCTATCTCTTGTATACCCAATTTAAAAAAAGAAAAAACAAATCATCTCTTTTCTATATAATCATCCACATCAATACCCACCATTGGATCTCTCCTCATCTTGCACATCCAACGGCTCAGGAAACACATCCTTCGACCTCTTCGAATCACCACCACCACCACCACCATTATAACCACCACCACTTCCTTGAGACTGAGACCCGGTGGTCCCGGACTGTTTCAAACTACTCGGCCCCGCCACGACCGCCGCCGCCATCTCGGTGGAGCTATTCCGCCAGCTACTAAACAAAGCGGCATTCCACGATCCTCTAGAAGAGGGTGTCCTCAACCTAGCGGAGCTTCCACTTTCTTCTCTCACCACCTTCAATGGATTCTCCAAAGCTTTCAAAATGTATCTCATTAGCGGCCGTCTGGCGGGCTTAGGGTTGAGGCAAGATCGAGCCACCACCGCCATGGCCCACACTTCTTCGAGTAAATCTTCATCTATGATCAACGAGGGGTCCACAATGTTGGTCACAAGTTCTTTATCGTATATGTTGATGTATGGAAGGATTGTTTCTAGTAAATCTTTTGTGTTTGTTGTTGGATCATTTGTTGCACTAATTCCCATTTTGCCCGTTACTAACTCAAGCAATACTTTCCCAAAACAGTACACGTCATACGCACATGTTGCGGTCCCCACACCTAAACACACACACACAACTTTTTTAGAATTTTTTATTTTTTTCTTATTATAAAAACTACTAATTATAGGTAGTTATAAATTATAAGAAAAAAATCAACGAAAGCACGTTGCTATTTCTTGCTAAAAAATATTACAAAATGAAAAAAAAAAAAATAGAAACTTACCGGAAGCACCTTGTTCAGATGTCCTGCATGAAACCAAGAGAAAATTTTCGGTTAAAATCTAAAATTAAATAATTATTGCAATTAAAAAAAAAAAACCTAAAACATTAGGGCAAGGGGATGAGAATTCATATATAAAACTCGTACAAAAAATGATGTAATCATATAATCAAAGTTTGTGTATAAATTATAATCGTGAATTTATGATATAAAAATGCGATATCTAGTTTTCTACTTTAGGAGGAAAGTTCTCTTAAACTTGCATACTTTTATACGTATTATATGTTTCCTTAAACGATACATAAACATAAACATAAACATAAACATAAACAACGTGTTTAAACTTTAAACAAGAAGTTTCTAAATAAAGATCTTGATATCAAATCATACCCTAAACATAAAAAAACTTCATTCGGCATATAAAAAGATACTTTTCTAGATTCTAAAACAAGAAATATCAAATTAGGTTAATGAGATTTAAAAAAAAAAAAAAAAAACTTACTGTGGTAATCTTAGCATCCTTGTGAAACGATTTGAATGACTTTCTCCTTCTTGAGGACAAACTTCACTTAAACTCCCTAATCTCACTTCATATTTATCATCAAGAAGTATACTGCTTGCTTGAACATCTCTTCAATCACCAAAAA